CAAATACGATTAATTGATATATATATATATATATATATATATAAATAACACTTAAAAATGACCGCGTTACAGTAGAAAGAATTTTTCCTGCGGATTGAGGCTTTTCCCGCGGAATGAGTAATGAATGATTTATATTATTATGATAGCTTACCGAAATGACAATTCTTCTTTCCATTTTTATTTTATTTTTAAAATTTTAATTTCGAATAAAGTTTGTGCAATTTATGATTTATGCAATTCAATAATTGAGCAATTGAGTATTACAAAGTATTTATTTGTTTACTCATTTATTTATTTATTTATTTATTTACAATACAATATTTGTAATCGATTTGTTATAAATAAATTTGAACCATTCTGTGTTTCGGTTAAAAGATTACTGAAAGTATTGAATTATCGATCCGATGAAACTTAACGGTATTAACTAATCTCGGCTCTAGTATGTATATCTTCTTATCGATCCGAGATCAGAATTTGTATAATAGTGTAATTTACAAAAACATTAATGAATATATTTTACTAAAATTTCAGCTTATGATAAGTTATATTTGAATTACAACTTTAATATATCCTTTCATTATGCAAATTTGGCAGATCAAAAAACGGCAAAAATGGATGATAATTGATGAGCGGTAAACTTACCTTTCTGTTTTAGGGTGCATGAATACAAAAGAAATTTGAAAGGAGGAATGATAAGTCACTGATAAATTGATTTTAAAGTTGAAAAATTTTAAAAGTATCACAGCGGAAAGTTTACTTTAAATTTGTTGGCTGATAAAGAGCCTAGTTTAAATAAACATATTTGGCCTAGCTTTTGCTGATGTAAAAAGGTTACGATGAAGAAGTGTTCTATCTTTTGTGAGAAAATGAAAATTCTGCTAAGCGCCAATAAAACTTCAAAGCATATATACCGATAAGATAAGCTAGAAAGATGGAATAAATGGCTGATAAAATTTCACATTCATTTTGAGTTCCAATTTTAATTCATATTGAGTTAGCCTAATTCGTTTTACTCAAAAGGTTTTACTCAATTTGCCAGTGAATATAAAATTACTATGAGGAAATGAAAGGTGTTTAAAAAAGATCAGAGGGTGATAAAGTATGAATGGACACTAATTAAATTAGATCTCAGTGGATAATCAGGCTAATAAAAGTCGGTCATTTTTGGTGGTAATTAAGATAAATTAGTTTTCCTGGATAAATTAGCTAATAAAAAAAAAAAAACGAAAAAATGCTGCTGGGAAGAAAATGAAGCAAAATTGATGCATAGCTTGTTACGGTAGAATCAAAATGATGAAAATTCGGAGGGGAAAAAAAAAAACAAACTCATAAAGAAATACAGGACAGGTTGACAGATTGTATCAAGTGAAGCAAAAAAGGTGAGTTAGTTATTTGCTTAGTGAAGTGAATTAGGTGTAGAATAAACGGAAGGTTGGAAGGATTAGCCGTAACGCTAACCGGGAAGCTAAAACATCCGTCCTTCAGACTTCCGGTATTAAATCTTTGCTAACACCTGTCTAATGTTCTCTTCTCATCTCATCTTCAATATTACCTATTTCAAATTCATCCATTGTCATTTCAATGTTTCCTAGACTACGCATAGCAACAAGCATTAACGTTAATTAATGGTGACAAAAAGATGTCAACAGGGGGTCAAATATATTTTCAATTGTTGAAATCTTTAAAAGATGAATAACTAAATTAAAGTTAGAAAAAGTAATACTACATATGCCTTGCATTGTTACCGCACCAGTAATTTTTAGACTAATTTTGAAATGCTCCACTTCTTGCGCAAATGGTTACTGTACGGCGGTAATGGTAATAGTAGTAGTAGTAATAGTACAGTGAAGCTGTGATATTTGTTAACATTTTAAGAATGGTTGAATAGAAATTTTGATCAATAAAAACAGAAATGTCTTAAGAATATTAATGGAAAAGGGAGGAAGGATGAAATTATCGGAGCAAAGAAGGCGGAAGAGCGGAATGATCCCATTCCCTCAGAGAATTATTTCTTTTCTATTCATGAAAAGAGGGAGAGAGAGAGAGAGAGGAGGAGAGAGAGAGAAGAAG